TCTCTCTCTCTCTCTCTCTCTCTCTCTCTCTCTCTCTCTCTCTCTCTCTCTCTCTCTCGCCGTAGCGGTACGTAGTATCCCAATCTTGTATCGCTCAACCTCTCTCTCTCTCTCTCTCTCTCTCTCTCTCGATTTCTCTCGATCTCTCTCTCGATCTTCTTCTTCGCTGTGGTCTTCTGTGCAGGTGCGCGGCGGCTTCTCCCACCTTCAGATCCGCTATGGCGGACTATACCCCTCGGCGGCCACCTCTGCTATGGCGCTTCAGGCCCTGCACACGACGGCGCGCATGGAATAGTGGGTACCAGCTCCGATACCAATGCATTCAGACTCGTTCTCATTCACACCTTTCATGCATGTAAACAACAGCGCAGCAAACTGGCGACATGCGCCCACTCAAAACTCAGAGATATGGCATCCAGATACGAGTTCACTTGCAACTGGCTATGGCGACTCAGCGCCCAAACAACTCACTGTTCACATACACCAGATCACCCTGGATATCCCACACGTGTCACTCTGAACACTCGCACATACACACACACACACTTCACACTAACTATAGCTATGGCAGCTATGGCTGCCTCTACCCTATCGCTATACTAAGCTCCTCCTCTCTTGCCCACTGCGTCCTCCGGGCTCACTGCAGACCTCCTTGCACAAGTCGCTGTGGCAGCACTTCCGCATGGCTCCCGTAGGAACGAATGAAAAGTTGGGTGCTGCCTCTTGATTTATACTTCGGAAACTCGTTGGTCTGCCCTTTGCCATCGGCCCATGGTGCTCACAGTCCCCCGTGGTACTTGCTGGACCGGACTGGGACTGACTGGACTTTACCGCTGACTGACTRTGRACTCACTGCTAACCTACCGTAGTCGTAYTGCAATTGCACTGCAGTTTAGTCCACCACATGACTCGCCACTTGACCACTTGCCCACTTGCCGACCTTCTAGAAGGACTACAGCTAGACTTCTCGAACTCACTAAGACTTCTACTCTATAGACCTACAGATCGAACCCCTGCTACCTATGGACCTATGACAGACCTACCAACTGTCTACAAATATACAGGTCACAGGTTTAACTCTCGGGGTCTACACCGGTACTGTACATGGGTAGGGCGAGGTCTAGGGATCGAACCCTAGGTACTGCATCTGCTATTGCTAAAAGGTCAAAACCGTTTCAATAATAGTGGGTGGTCAGAATTCCTCGCGACCAGAACTCTACGAGGAAGAGGGAAGAACTTAGGGTCTAAGGGCCAGTTAGCCCCTAAAAGGCTATGGCTGCTGGAGGGTAAGGGTGCGGAGATTCGGCAGGAAGCGGAAAAGATTGTTCAAGTTCAGAGACGGGTGACCGAGCACCAAGAGTCAGGGAGGCGGCGGAGTCAGAGACAGACGGGGGAACACGTATGGGGGCAACATAGCTAGGACACGAACTCAAGAGGGATTGGGGGATCAGGGTATGATACCATCTGTGCGCTCAGAGCCAATGACTGGGGGTTCAGAAAGGAAGGACAAGATTGGAGGACATATGGAACCGGTGGAGCGGCCAGCTAGGGCACTGCAAAGAGAGGGTTTAGGGCCTAGGGTTTAGGACGATACTTCCGTATGAAAAAGAATCCTTGAAGTATGAGCCTCACTGGTAAGCACCGTCATAGCCCTTTTGCAGGCAGACTGGTTGTATGGACCTGAGAATGTTGGAGTACGGTTACAACGGCAGAAAGTTACGCTCCACTTGAAGGAAACAGGCAAGGTGTCAGCAAGGTTTAATGGCTTCCTAATGAGGGCTTAGGGGTTAGGGTTCTAGTGTTTTTAATGAAGGGGAAGGAAAAAGTGGGGCAGAGATCACTGCGGCCCATGGACAAGAAGGGCAATTGAGGACATAGAGGCTAGCTTGGTCAAGGGTTCAGCTCCTTCTAGGGGACATGGAACTATCTGGCAGATCTGGTTACTAGGTCTGAGAGGGARGAGCGAGACATGGCAAGCTGGCAGTCAATCCTCCACCAAGGTGGAGCAATCAATGCTGCTCAGGGGTCCTTCGGCCAGACGGAAGGAAGCGTGCGTGATTCTTATTGTAATAATTTTCTGGCTTGCCGGTGGAATAGGAACCGGACTGCTCAGGGGTCCTTCGGCCCGACGACCGGAGGGGGGTAGCAACAAAGGACAAGGCCAAAGGTGGTAACTCCAGCCGGAGGATCCAAAGGCACATAGCTAAGGTTAATTGGCGGACTGCATCAATGGTTAGGTTCGGGGGTCCTTTGAAAGCAGGGCTGTTCAGGTAAAGGAGAGGAAAGACGGATTGGCAGAGACCAGGGGACAAGGACAGTGGGGGGGGTCTTAGGGCAGCGGAGTTGGCAGGCAGACAAGGATGTCTGGACTGAGAGGAAAAGAGGGCGTCCGAGGCAAGCCGGCAGTCACTCCTCCAATTAGGTGGAGTATTCATAAGTATTACAATAAAGCGAGGGGTAGGGTTTAGGGTTTAGGGTCTTAGCAGAGCCCATAAGACGGGGGTGAGCGTAATGGTTCGGGGGATCACAACAACTTAAGGGTAGGGCTGTGGAGGGGATTGCTAAGGGCAAACTGAGAAGATGGGCAAGCTCTTTCTAAGTAAAATAGCGACATCTGGCAGAGTCTTTTGAAAAAAGGAAAAAAAAAAAGAAAAAAAAAAAGGAAGCGGACTGACGCTCAGGCTAAATTAGGCAGGGGCGAGAGATGTTTCACCGATTTGTTGTTCCAGTTTTCGCCCTTGTTCAGGAATAGCATGTAGCTAGGCAGAAGAAATTATTTCTTGAGTGCAACTTAGGGATAGGATTGTCACTTCTTTCAGCTCCTGAATGTAACCTAGGGGCAGGTTGGTAGGTTCTTGCGTTTAGGGCTATTTGTCTTCTGGT